AGCATATTTGGTCCGTTCACCGGTCATGAATGGTGTAAATGGTCGGAGTAGGTTCGAATTATTTTGGTAACTTTCATGAGAGGGCTCTGACATTGTCGCAAAGAACAGATAACAGAGCTCTTTTATGCACACGATCCATAGAACAATTAAGATAATTTGATTTGCGTGAATATTATAAAATCTTAAACAATTTATTTTAATTAATAGAATTAATTAATTTAATTAATAATAGAATTTCTAAACCTGGCATTGTCCCCGGTAACTTGAATTTGGGCTTCCCCATTTATTCATGTATATTAATTCATATCCATTCAATTCAAGTCGAAAAATATATAAATTATCCTTGGTAACAAGAATGTTTGCTGTTTTTAAATGCAGGGTTATAACATAATTGATCTTTTTCCTTCCACTCCGGCATTCGCCTGGTGTTGATCAGAGAAGCCACGGAAAAATACCGATCAGAGCAGCCGGCTATTTGAATTCTACTCCAGATAGCGGTATAATTTGAACTAGCTATCTGGCTAGTGCGGAAAAACCTGCCAACGCCAGGAGTCGAATTTTACGTCCTGCCAGTCAGAGGGTCTGCAGTGACACAGGTCTTTGTCTCACTACTATTAATTCCTATTCTATCAAACTTATGTAATTTCATCTTATGATGTGTAAATATCTTTCCGCGAAACTTTGTGTACTCCTGTGATTGTGAATTCTTTGTTTTAATAAATCGACTACTGAAAACAATTGCATTAACTATTAAAAAAAAACTATAATCAAGCCTTCATCAATAGACAATCATCTTTATCACCAATCAATTTAATAGTTCTGCAGTCGTAATACCAGGAGGTTGCATAATGCTAAAATCTTGTGCTCTATCTCTTATCTTATCTCTACTTGCTTTCTTGGGAATACAGCGATCTTCAATTGCAGCGTTAGGGTGATGCATTCTGTTAATTTACTACTCATCTGTGGTTTTTAATACTAACTTTTTATGTTAGGTTTTGACTCTGTTTTTTATAAACTTGTCTGTCATTAAAGTAAAGGGCCAAAATTGATGCATTCTGTATTTAGTCAGCAGCTCGAACCATTCCGTTTTGGTCATTAAGACCCACTTGCATCCAGCGATGGTGGGGGCATTACTGCTCGCGGAGGAGGAGAAATTGATGTATTTTTGATTGATTGATTAGTAATTCCAGTCGCGCGAAAAAGTAATATTTTTTTCCTTTTATGAAATCTCTTCCTGAAAGATAGATTTTGAATTAAAGTCATGTACAATGTTTCGAAACTTTGAGTAATTTTCGCGTAATTGTACGTGAAAGGACGTGCAGTTTTAGCACCACTAGTTTCAAAAGTGTACTATATTGTACTCTTTTTACGTAAATACTACAAAGCGTTTTAACTTCAATATAATATTATTTTTAATTATTACATTAATTTTCCAAATAAATATTTTACAATCCCACGTATTCGAACTCTAGTTGTTAGTTGTTGACGTTCGTTCCATTTCTTACCACAGATTTGCTGCTCCTGGACTGCTACCGAAATTTCAGAAATTCTTTATCTGAGCGGAAATTCTGTCAACTACCATTAATTTATATGATTCTGTGGTAAATTTTATCAAGCCTTACAATTTAGGCATTTTTTTTGTTGCACTACACTAAAAGGTGGGAAGACACTTTATACACATTATACTGTGTTTAATTTCTGTGATAAATAATACTATTTATTGAAAAATTGACTTTGTTTCTTTACTGAAAGGCATAGTATTTATTAAATAATGAGAGGAGAAAAAGGTTTCTCCAGCTTTACGATTTATAGTTTTGACGGCTTGTAACTTGGATTGAACGATTGCACAACCCACGGATAATCCTAAAATATTTATATTATATCAGAAATATGCATTTCACATTTAATTTCATAAAATAATACAATTATTGCAGCAATATCGAATTGCGAACATTATTTTGAAATCAAAGAGCACTTCTCAAGCGTTATGACTGGCGTCTAGTTGCGAACCAGGCAGCGCACCGATGTGTGAAGTCGCCCTTGAGAACGTTTGCGACGCACGAACCATGAGACTCGCCGAGCGTCCAAATGCGACATTATGTTTCCTCTTGCGTTTTAGCACCGCAACGAATCATGGAAAGCCCCACAGCCCTTTATCCAGGGCTCGGATTCTGATAGCATGTCATCTTTTCTCCGGTGCATTGTAGACGTAAGTAACTTGTAAATTAAAGTTTATCACGATATATAGGTGATAAATATGTATAATAATTGGGTCATTTTTGTCACTTTTTGCCATTTTTCAATTTTTAGATCATTTTTTTTGGGAGCCTTTGCGTTATGTTACATCGACACACTAAAATATATGTTTTATTGTATCATCAGTTTATGACGAAATTCACTACTGCAGTGGACTCTGTTCTTGGAACTCTGAACATCACATTCCTCCTAAGGATTTCATTTCCCCCTAAAATGAAGACTTTGTATTTAATATAATTTTATATAAATGAATATTATTTAAAATTGAAAAATTCATCGAATAAAAATGTTCAGAAACATTTTAGAGTATATTAAAAAAAAAGTTTATTTCCCCTTATTTTAAGCCAATTTCCAATTATTTTTAAGTCATTTTATAGTTCATTTTCATAGAATTTTTACTTCATTAGAATCCGAACCCTGCTTTATATCGGAGAGAATACTCATTTTGTCTTCTTCTTAACCTCGCATCTTAATTTTAGTTCAGACAGTTCTTGACGGCATTCAATGCATTATTTAGGATGTTTTGGGAATTTATTTTCATTTTATATTAAACCTGTTGATAAAAAAATGTGCATTTCATGAGTGCAGTTTTTTTTGTAGAAAGTTTGACAAAGAGTTCCGTCACTTCGTCCGGGTTTTGACCTCAAGTGGCCTTGAGTGCAGTACTTTCCCAAGCATTCAATTGGCGTCGTACATACAAGATCTCGGTAAGTTTGTTGGAGTTGATCGCCGATAATCATCGTTGTGATTGCCGTTCCTTCTTGCTGCTTCTACTTGTTAACTGCTACCGACAAAACATCTCAACTCACGAGAACAGTTTTACAATTTAAAAACATAAATATTGGATATCGCTTTACAAAGTTATATGCTAAATGAATATGCTAAAACCTTCACACTATGAGAGCATATATTTATGAACTAGTGGTGTTTCAACAGCACGAACGTTCGAATTCAACTTTCGAAAATTCAAAGAGTTCAACGAAAATGATACCTGCGCCATTCTTTCAATGGCGGATTCTGACGTAGAAAATTTTAAAGGCGAAATTTAGAGAGTTTTGAGAAAATGATATTTTATTAATTTCTTGAACTTAAGCAGAAATAGCGTGAAAATTACTCGCTTAAAAATGTATATGTCCTTATTTGAAGAAATATTATTTAGAACATATAAGGAAGACGGTGGCTTACTAAATTGACCAATTAGCCTCATAGGTTCACATTTCATATATGTTACCCTGACATGAAATAGTTTCTGAAAAGAGGTGAAGCTCATTAAAAACGAATGTTTTTCTTACGGTTAATTTTAAAACTAATGTGTATTAACGGAAGTGTATTTAAATATTTTACATTTTAATAGAAAGAACATTGTTTTCTTCCACAACTAGGAAAAAGCACAAAGGTTGACAAGTTTATATTTTGACACAAATTATTCACAAATTGCCTGAATGTTCTTCATACGACTTAATCCATCTCTCATCTCTTTGAAAAAATTTCCTTCAGGATATTTTCTTACATTATTGAGATTCTCTGGATGATAATTAGGCTAGTGTGATAATCATAGATCACAAATTTAGATATTTTTGAGGCATACGCTCGACTATTTAAAACAGGGAGAATACCTTCACTAATCACAAACTATGAATGATTTAAAACGAATTCACGATACAACTTAATTACTCATTTTAAACCGCTTAAGTTTTTAACATACATTTCTCAACTACTTATCCCTTTGCGGTTTCTCTTTACGGAATTTCAATGCTGAAGTAGGTGTGAGACGCGTTGCAGTATTTTCATTCTAAACAAATGCATCACTCGAATCCATTTCTGCTACAAAATGATTCTATCTAATGCCCTTGAAACACAATCACTACATACGTAGTAAACTACGAGGACAGATATATCATAATAAGAAATACTTTCAATATTCCACACTTTAACGACTTCGTTTACTAAAATTAGTTTCTGAAACTTCATTTTCAATAGCTGCCACTGATCTCGTCGAAATAAACACATTGTTTATCGAACATTCTTGTCATGGCAACCACTTTCTTGGCAGAAAGTTTTAACGCGCAAAGAAACACAAATATACTTATTCGTTCATATTTACAAAAAAAATTATAACACTGAATTTTCGAAAAATGCAAGAGTTGATATATTTTGAGTCGTTTCTTACAACCTTATTATTGAAGTTATAGAAGCCATTAAGAAACTCTTCACACGGCACCACTCATCAGCGCTTCCGAGTGGCGCGCCAACTGGCAAAGCATTGGTTTAAATGGAGGTATTCACACGAGCGGTGTAGTCGCGTTGCTATGACGCTCGGTGGCGAACTCTCGACACCAGCAGCGTAGATGCGCGTCCCCGCCACCTCCAGGAGAACACAGTTCTAAATGGCAGCGTTGATATGTGGTGCGCCGCTGAACCGGTTTCTTGCCTGCTGCCTGCCTTTGTCGCCTGAGCTCACAGCGGCGTTACTCATGAAACCCTCTCTCACGGTCAGTCGGCGCTGACTGAATGTGAAGGGCTGCCGCTTCTCGGTGGCACCACTTCGTGTGAAGGCACCTTCAGGACTGCTTTCTGTTGGCGGTAGCACGGGTCTTCTTCTCTTCTAGTGGCGAGCGCTCTCCCCGAAGGGACACAGAAGCGCGACTGCGCCACCCATGTAAACATCTTCAGTTAAACCAAAGCTTTGCCAGCAGCCGCGCTAAGCGGAAGCGCTTTTGAGTGGCTGCTACGTAGCGGCTCTACTCCCAGGCGTGTCGGCGCCTATGCAAGAGGAAGTGGCTCGGCTTGCTGAGTGACGCCGGGCGGCACAGGAGCTCCGCGGCTAGAGCCACCGCCGCCAGAGCGAGCCCTATAGAAAGCAACAGGAAGGGCCCCGCCAACTGCTCCCGCGCCAGCGGCTTCGGCGCTGTCTTCCTCGCCCCCGCGCTCCCAAGCGGACGCGTCACGCCATTGGCCGCCATCTTGTGCCACTGCAGCGCTCGCCACTGCTCGTAGAAGCCGCCCTCCACCAGGCGGGAGAAGAAGGCGTTGGCCACCTCCAAAATGGCGTCTCCTTTGGCGACGGTCGGGGCTTCGAACCCGGGGCTCACCAGGCACTCTGGAACCTTTGCATGCTTTACTATTACCACCACCTCTAGCACAATCCTTTCGATTATGACTACTATTAACACAAGATTTATATTAATACAATATCTCTAAAAGTACACGAGTACTATTTTTGCTACTATTATTATTACTACCACCGCCCCTACAACTAGTACTACTACTACTACTAGTACTATTACTACTACTAGTAATATTACTAGTACAACTAGTAATACTACTAGTACAACTAGTAATACTACTAGTACAACTAGTAATACTAATAGTACAACTAGTACTACAACTATTACTTACTAGTAAAACTACCACTACTTCTAGTAGTACTACTACTAGTACTACTACTACAAGTATTACTACTACAAGTACTACTACAAGTACTACTACTACAAGTACTACTACTACAAGTACTACTACTAGTACTACTACTACAAGTACTACTACTAGTACTACTACTTCTACTAGTGTTGCTTCCTACGTCAGAATGCCTAACGACGTGAAGAGGAGACTGGGAGATGGCAAAGGATTATATTGGATATGACTACCAGTATATCACGTTCAGCGTTAACAAAACCAAGACGACACGCTGGCCACTGAACCCTACTAGATACAATGTTAAAAATTAACAAATAAAACACTCCACAGCCCTAGAATACGGAAAGACAACGCTAGAAGACAGGAGACACCATGCGAGGACTTGGCAGGACTGATTATCTACCTCATCATGCAAGCATGCAAGACAGCGTTGCCCGACAAGAGATTTGTTTCTAACTGAACTTTCGCCTACTGGTGAAATAAGAAATCGCGAGACTCAGAAAGTAATGAGGAATGCCTCCCTTTTAGACGCAGGGCTCTAAGAGTCAGTTGAGACTCATGAGATAATGATGAAAGAACAGCAGCCTACAAGGACACCAAAACAGAACTGCGCAGGATCATTGCGATAAGGCAGCGAAATGGGAAGAACTAACCCAAGACGTCATAAAGACCAGTGAGGCAGAGGGTAGAAGCTCGTCACCAACAAACCAGGAGACATTTTCCCGACGATCACTCTAGAGACAGAGACGATGCGCGAAATAGTTGTCACTCTCACGCACCCGAAAACCCTGACCAGGAATCACCGGCATCTGGGATGATTCTCCCTCAATCACGCTGGATCTCACAAGAGCTGTGACCTTCATGCACCTCAAGAAAGCTACGGTCCCAGACAGAATCCTGGCAGAGGCACTAAAAGCAATAGCGGAGTCATTCTGAACTGCTTCTCAAAATGTATAATATGTATTTGAGAGCAGGCAATTTCTGTGTGAACTGGAAGAGAATCCAACTGGCCTTGATCAATAAGGGCAAAGCAGACGCATCAGCCCCGACGTCCTGTAGACCACTATAATGGTAGACATGGTGGTTAATCTTTCTGAGAAGATGCTTAAACCCCTCTTACCATAACCCTTAGAGGACGCAGACACACTCTCAGATAATCAGTTCGATTTGGGAAAAGATGATTCACAATAGAGGGGATTCGCATAACTGTAGGCTCAGCGGAACGAACGGAAGGCCGCTACCTTCGCACAAGGCATCTCTGTAGGGCAGTGGCGCCGGTCGTTTGAAACGCCTTCACCTCAACCAAGAGGACAAAATGTTGAACGCTCTGATTAATATCTAAGTTCCCTATTAATACAGGACATTTGAGACTACATTAATGACCGGGAAGGCTACTGAAAAGGGAGTGAGGAACAGATTGAGGGCAATAGCAATGGCCCAGAGCACAATGCAAGGGAATGCTAATTGGCATACTCAACGTTGACACGTCAGGCGATGCATTGCTGGTAGGATACGTCGATGATTTAGCGTTCGTCTTGACCGCATGCTCGCTAGAAGGGATTTAGGCTTGTTTTAAGCAGGTAATGAGACCGGTGCAAACCTGGGTAAGTAGCCACTCTCTAGAGCTTGCTGTCAATGAAACTGAAATGGTTTCAATAAAGAAGGCGTCAATATAAGGCGCTATATGGAAATTCTTGGAGAAGATACAAGAGAACGTCTTAGAGATAACAACCTTTAGTCTTAGAGATACAATGCTCTTATTGAGACCAGAAAAAACGAGCTCTAAAGCAGGTAATATAAAGTAATAGACACTGAGTAAGAGTGGTAAAGTAACACACTAAGGCACTGAATAATATAAATAACTGAACTCTATTTTGATGTAACCTTGTGATAAATTACTCAAATGTATTTTCAAGAAGCAATTATTTTATTATTAGTAGCCCTAACCTTTAAAAATAATGTGAAAATGTAATGTGTTTTTATAGCACCATTAGTTTCTTATTGAAATCTGTTCTACAAAATTATATATATTTAAAAAATTTCATGCAAATAAAAAAAAAACTTCCTCTGTGAAAGCGCAGAAAAGACTGTGACCTGAGAAATTTGATACAGTATATATGATGATTTGATACAGTATATATTAAACCCAAGAATATCGGTTTGAATTCCAGCGTGGGCAGAAATATTGCGGATTTGACTCATTTTGCGAGTTCAACTAGAATTACAATATTTCGAAACCGTTACAAAGGTGCGATAAGGCATGTGCCTTTGTACCACAGCTTATTTTATTAATTTATTTGTGCTTTTTATTAATTAAAATTATGAGAAGATTTAAAAAACACCCAACTTGAGAGAATTTTTCTGAAAAAGGGATTTAAAATTTTGTAGGTATAAATCTGTTTAAAAAGTCCTTAAAACCCACATGTTTATTCAGTTAATGTACTCACATTTAAATCGTCTCAAAATTAGTCTTAAATAAACGATTCATCACGGAATGCAAGCGAAGACAAATATGTTGCCTTGCATACTTACCAAATAAAAGGCCACGTATTTACCATTCCCGCTCTCTTCATCTGGGAGCTGGGAGAAAAATGGGATGACAAGTTTTTGGAGAATCATTGCGCCTTTACCGCGCTCACGAATCTCTTTCAAAAAGAGTTTCGCCTGATCAACTTGATTATTTCCCATTTTGTCTACAGCCGGCATACTTTTAGCTCTTCTTTCAATAGCCTTTATTGAGTCTGAAATATCCCCATCTGCTAACGGGTTTAGTACATTTAAGAATGTATGAACAACTTCGATCTGGAAAAGAAGTATAATTGATTGTAATATTGTTCATGCGCAGAGATTTATAGTTTGTAAGCATATTTTATAAAGTATTTTTTACTGATAGACATTTTTCTTTCAAATAAAATTTGTTCCCCATAGTTCTTTCAGTAAGGTTATATATAGTTTTTTGAAAATTTTAATAGTTTTCGCGCCATATTGCGTACAATATCTGCAATTGTATAAAATTACAAAAAACAAAATTGTCTCAAAAATGACTTCAATTTTTTCTTTAAACTTTTGATAGGCAGTGCTAAATGTACTCTATAAGATGACATAAATACCACATTACTCTATTATTTTATTACAATATTTATTTTATAATATATATATTAGCGGCAATATTTTTACATTAATATATTTATGAGTACATGTGCTTTAATGTCATATAAAAGTTCTCGAAAATTGTACCGTTTTCTGTGAAAACTAGCTCAAAACTCCGCATTTTCAGAAACGCTCAAACGCCATTTTTTTCAAAAAGTCTCTAAATTTTTTCTTCGAGCATTTCGAACGGATAATGGTAATTGCACTCTTTAATAAGACATAAAGTAAATTTTCGGGTATTTTTTGTTTCTTCAAAAATTACTCATATGTAATTTTTTTAAAAGATCTCTCACGTCTCTCATATCTCTCACAGCAATTTGTAAACACTATTGTACTTGTGTGTTAAAGTACTTCAAATTAAGTTTTTAGAAAACTCAAAAATTTTCTGTGCGAAAGAGCTTCAAATTTCGAATTTACAGTAGCGTTTAAACACCAATTTTAAAAGGAGCTCCAAGTTTTTCAAAGAAACTTGCCATTTAGGACGAGGTTTTACTGGTCTTTAAGAATCTTCAAATAACCGCACTACATTCAGGAAAAGATAAGAAAATTACAAAAATATACTTTGGGTGGCGATAGATGGCAGCAATAGAATAGTTAAACGACACCAAAGGAAATAGAAAACTAATACGGGAATGTCTGTGCCATTTTGTAGCGTCACTAGGTAGTTTCTCGTATACTTTCAGGTATACAAATTAACACAAAGATATTTATGTAAAGGCGCGGAAAACAGATATCGAGTTTTGCAATTCCCTGAGACATTTTCAAAATCCCCCCCCCAAAAAAAACTTAATTTTTTCTTTAAATTTCTTGCGAGACCAGAGTAAAATATACTTAAAAAGATGGATCACATTGCATATAAGATATCATTTGTGAATTTTCACGAATTGCAAAAGTTTCGAATTCCTCGAACCCTCATGCAACTAAATTATTGAAGTTGTTCCGCACTATTGATGTTTTCTATGAGTTAAAACTGTTCTTCATATTCCAAAGTATCACTTCTCGTGAAGCGCTCGCCTTCAACCCCCGTTTAGATACGCACCGCGTTGTCTACGAAACCTCTGGTAGCAACTCCTACCTGTCGTCAGCCTCATACCGAAGTAATAACCCTTTGTCCCCAGCCGTACCACCATCCGCACGCTCTCACCAACCGCCTCCACCCACTACTCACAACGTTACTCTGGAGAAACAACGCTTGACAAAAGGGAGGCGCCCTTTTGTCAAGCGTTGTTTCAGATACATCGCCTGAATGTTTTAGACGTTAGGACACCCGGACAAACATATGATTTGCCATAAACCAATTTTTCATTATCGAGCACTCACCAAATGTGTATTCAGACTACACAACGTGTTGGAAGGTAATTTAATACATAAATACGAGTTCGTAAGAACAACAGTTTTCAACTTTTTCTATATCATGGCCCCATTATACCAGTTTTTCTGCCGTAAACAGCGCCGTTTTTTGCCGCAGCATTACAAGACTTTCTCCATTTTTCGTAAGTAGTACGCAAGAAAGTAAAAATGTAATCTGAAGTAAATCAATTATTTGTTTTTTGGTAATTATATGATTTACGGTGGAAGTTACGATACTTGGGTAAATACCATATTTTATATTGAAAACATTATTTTAAAGCTTGCTTAGGTTTCATGATGATTCGATAGATTCAGGACAACACAGAAAACAACAAAATGAAAGTTAGTTAAGCTCTAATAAATAATATTTTATGGAGGGTGCGGTTAAAGAATTAATAACAGAATTGTAGGTACTGAAATAGAAAAAATCTTATAATTTTATTAAAATACTTATCGTCTGAATAGTGAAATCCTGCTAATTGCTTAAATTCTATTGATGTTCATACACATACGTACACTTACTTTGTCTGCTACCTCTTCTAAAGTATTAATGTCCACGTAATATACGGGCGTTGTGAAGAAACTTAAAAGTTTTCCTGAGTAGGCATTTGTGATGACGACACTGAATAAAAGGAGAGATCCCAGGAACACCCTCTTTGATGGAGATGATACCTAATAACAGCACAATGTTCGCGTGACTGAAGTTATAATGTGAGAGTATACATTGAGAATCATTATTTAAAAATATACAATTGGAATCAAACTATCTGATGTACGTACTGTCAATGTTTTAGAAAATAAGGTGTACCTCAAGATATGTTGATCCAGTGACGATGATTTCGATGACGTCTATTATTGAACGATTGCAACCGTCAAAGAACTGCAGTTTATCACTACATTTCTTCCCTGAACCGAAATTAATTGTTCTGACAGTGAACCAGACACAACCTGACAAGAATAGTGTTACACCAAGGCAAAGCCAAACCAATGGTTCATACGGGAGAAGTAGTACTAAACTGTATGGTACTCGAAAAGCCTTGCGAACCAATATACACACATCGTTTTGTACTGTAGGCACAGTGTAATCAGCAAACTTGGATACAGACGTTAGAAACATAAATGATGAGGCACATATGTGGGATGATTGTACCTGCAAACTGATAAATTATTCATAATACAATGAATGAATAACAAGTATCACCCAATCAGCCAGATTAATATGATGACCAGTCAGAGCGTTCAGTTGTGCAAAGATTTAACGCTATGATTAATTATTTACCTGCCGATAGGACCTAGTATTGTTCCATTATCTTGATTGAAATTCATTCCAGGTACTGCTTCATTTCTCGAGCTTGGTGCTCTCTTTATAAACGTGATTAGTGCACAAATGTCAGGGCCATCGAGTACAGGTACATTATCTTTGTTTTCCCATCTATCTCTTTCAAATCGGCTATAAGAATGTGACAATTTGAGGTTTCGCCACCTCCAAGCCCAATTCTTATGGTCGTCGATGGAATTGATACTTCTATTCCACGCACAGAAACTCTCTATTGTCTCCATGGCCACTGAGGCTCCTACGATATATGAAAACACGTTATTCATTGCGTTCCGAAAATATCTGACGAATAAGATTCGTGTCTTGAAAGAAGAATGACTTTGAATTATGAATAAAGTAGCGAACCTGCAAGGAGAAAATCACATTAATTTTCTAATACATAAATATAGCTGTATTACTTAAATTTCAATTGCATTTTGTTTAAGCATGACTATTTGCAGGCGAGACATTTGAAAAATAGACTAGTGGTGCTACAACATACATTTATAAGCACACTTTCTTGTGTTATTGTAAGGACGTCCTATTGCAACTTTCACTAATCCTTCCACTATCGCTTGCAAAACCACCAAACTAGGCCCAGAGATTTAAATATTTTCGGAATTCTTGCATAGAATCCTTCTTCTGAAATTATATATTTACCAAAGCATTTTTTTTTTAAATTTCACATCTGAAATTGAATTAGCGGCCGGTTTCAATCAAACAAGAGTAAGAGTTTTCCTCTGGAGTAAATCTTGTTTACTCGAGAGTAACTTCTTGGAGCGTTTCACTAACACGTTTACTGCGAGTGTAAATCGTTACACGAGAGTAAATTCGAGAGTAACTTACACCGCGAAAATCCGTCGAGTAAAGTACGAAGTAAATTCAGTTTTCAACGTGCATGTACCTCCGAAATGTTGTTACGGCTCGACGGTTACGAATGATAGTATTTGAAGACGATTCCAGCAATGATTCGGAATATTATTAACTAGTGAGAAGACAAATGATGCGAGAGAGAATGGATTGATTTTAATTATTACGATCGAGATTTTGTCTCGAGTTTATGTTTGACCAAATCAGCTGTTAACTTCATCAGATACATTGTAAACTGTAGAAAACTGGTAAATTTATTATTCGCCCATGTGGATACGAAATAAAGGTATTACGTACCGAATTCGATTACAAAAGGAAAAATAATAACTACAGGGACTACAAGTACTAAGAAATATTTATTTATTAATAAAAACTGTATGTGACGTATGGGGGAGAATTTTGCGCACGTTGTCTTGAGTACTAGATTCCCTTCCCAACATTTTAACTGTAAATAGTTCAAAGGTCAATACAAGTTTAAGAAATAAAACTAATAATGATATAATATAATAATAATATAATAAAAATTTAGAAAAGCAAGTTCAGCAACATTTGAAAAACTAAACATTTTCGTTCCGAATTATAGAAAATTTATTTGCATCGGCCATCGGTAAACGAACTGCAAATTTGGTTTTTTCTGCATTGCTAACCAAAAAGTAATTACATCTCCAGAGAAGAAAATGAATATTTATTAAGAAATAAAGATACAAAAACTAAGAAATAACTGTGCCAACTCAAATCACGAAAAAAACGCACAAGACAATAAAGCCAAGAACTCTGAAACTGAAATTAATGATAGTGTGACGTCATGGATACTCACAGCGAACACAGACACAGAGCTTTCATATAACAAATATTTATTTACAAAGAAAACAACAAATATTTACAATAAATTTTACACTTTTCACCCTAGCTCTGATAGTCCTGATCGCGGGAGTGATCCCAACCCGATTGATGATCGGTTTCAATTGTGGAACTCGCCACTCCTACATCTGAAGCGCGCACAAAGCCAAGCTTCCGTGACCGGATGTCACAATGGGACACAAAGTCCGTACTGGCGTACCAACTGATGGTTTGCCTCAATCTCAGAAGCAATCTCACCCGATTGAGAATCGGCTCGAGTCGTGGCACTCAACCACGTCTCACCTCGGAGTACGCACACATCATAGCTCCCACGTGACCGCAGTCACCCAAGGACACAAAGTCCTCCACAGGCTCATCAACACGTGACTTGCCTCGCGAGCCCTGCTCGCCGCTGCACCGTCGTGGCGCCAAATTTGTGCATTCACACGAGGTTCTCCCACTGACTCCAGAACCCACCCACTGGCTCTGAGCACTCCCTTATATACTCGAAGCTCACGTGACCTTCTACGTCACGCCGCCTCCGCTGCGCCCTATTGCTGGCCATGAGGGTTTGGGTCTTCGTTTCTTGAGATCAGAGGACCCCAAATCCTCTTGTCTCCCTTTGCCGCGTGCTGGCTATTAGGAAAAACCATTCTCTCCCTCCTGCGGCGAGACAGTTTCCTGTTACTAATCCCTTACCACGCGTCCCAAAATAGCTGTCCCAAGTTCATTTGCTAATACGTTACAATAGAATATAATGAATTAATCAAAGGTTCGTGTTGGTCCGCAGTGGTTCCCAATGTCACTCTCGCTCAGTCTCTTGAATCGCTCTCAAATATTGCGCGTTCAGCTGATTCGCGGAGTAAATCGGAGAGTATGTACTCTAGAGTAAAATAACCCTGTAGAAGCATGGTGAAACGTTTATATTCTACTCGAGAGTTACTATCTTAATATTTACTCTCGGCTAACTACTCTCAACTTAACTCGGCTGTTGGTGAATCCGGTCCTTAATGTACTATACTTACACAAAAGTTTAAGAGAAAAAAATGGTGACAAAAAAATTTCAACCTGAGACCTTAAACTTCCTGCCGACAACACACTAACAATACAGTTATTAAGCGGTTGCGTTGATTAATTTCATTGAAGCATCTGGGAATGTCAACTGCTGTGCCATTAGTGTAGTGAATGTTTTATCCTGGGATACGGCGGTCTTCCTTCCCAGGTGGATGATGATATCCTGAGACGATGACACTTGCGATAGATTTCCCCCTCCATGTATCACCCCCAGCGAGGCACCGCCACAGCCGGAGCAAGCTCAAAGCTACCGACTGGGCTGTCAACATTTATAGTAGTGAAGTTCATGTACGTGTAAGTGTAAGGAGAAAGAATCGGATAAAACGAGAAAGGAAATATTGAGCGGGATCTGTGGCCCATTTGTTAGAGTACTCTGGCATTCACCTGGTGTTGATTGGAGGAACCATGGAAATCGTACGATGTGAGTAGCTGGCCGCTGGAACTCTCTTCCGGACACCGACTGAATTCGACTTAGTATCTACCGACTTAGTTGAGATACTAGTACCTAATGTCGAAAATTCAGTAGCCGTCGAGATCCAAGCCTGCATCAGGAAATGCTTGAATTCAAATTATCTACTTTCGAAAATCCTCCACCTTTGGGACTGGAAACCTAGGACGTCGCGGTCAGATTAAGTGCAATGCTAGCTCTTAGCTAAATTAGCCGATGTTGATGTTGAGAACGCTCAAAATATATTGCCAATTCTCCAATTGTTCTGACAACTCAGTAACAGAACATTCTCTGAAATATCTATGACAACTACTTATATTCGTAGGTTTAAAAGAACTGTTTAAAATGCATCAAAGATGTTTTATTGAAGAAAATATTGAATTAAAAAAATCACTATTTTCAATTTTGAAGGCGTAGAACATAATTAAAGCATGATAAAGTTACAAAACTTAATATTTTGACTTTTTGACAACAAACATATTTTTAATCAAAATGGTAACTGTGCGGTATTATTAAGTGCACTTTGATATATTCAAGCAAAACATATGTAGCAGTTCTTGAGAAATTATATTTTATTTGTTTGTGAGATATTTTCATTCATTCACACAAAATTACGCAAAACCTACTCGCTTATGTAACGAAAAAAGAAAAAGATTGGATTAAAGAAATATTTAGCTTCAAGATAGAAGGAATTGTTAGAATTCAAGTATTACTTTGTGTAGCATCTAATTTTTGCATAACAGGAACAATAAGTTTTTGTTAATTATATTTCTATTTTTCAATATTAAATTTTTAATGAAAATATATAGATCTAATTTTTTTAACATACACCTACTAAGTACAGCGTACGTACTTGTGAGTAAAATCGTGAGATATTGTCAAAAAGACGCAAACAAGATTTTCTCAAAAGTCAAATATTTTTCGTATTTGTGCTTATAGAGAATAATGCACTAAATAACATGAAATAACTGATATCTTGATAAAAGGTGGATTTAAAAAAAATCAGTATTTTTTTGAAATATCTCATGCATCTTTGATTAACATCACTAGTGAATTATACAGTTAAATGAATTTGTGGACAAAAATGTTTCAAAATGTCTGTTGTAGGGTTTCACTTATATCTAAAGTTTTCGAAAACAAATTTTGATATGCAGCAGCCATTCGTCGTGGTATTTCAAATGCGCTCTGTGCTTACAACCGTCGCTACACTTTGCATTTGTATCCCCCTTTCCGGATTTCAAGGAGAAGTGAGAGCGGAGTGAGAGCGTAAGTTGCCCGTGTTCGTAGGAGCGCCTTGTTTCCCCGGGCGGGAAGTACGGGCGCATTTTCAAATGTCGGTTTTAGAACTTTTTGAGAGATTATTCCTTATTTCCCCAGTTATATTATCAATAGTATATTGGTTTCTGATCCGTTCTTTCTACTCTTCTGCTCGCTAGTTCTTTGTTCAATTGTATTCTGAAATTGATATTGTAAAATTATTCGCAAAACATTTAAATAATACAATAATAATAATAACAATAATAATAATAATAATAATAATAATAATAATAATAGCAGTAGCAGTAGCAGTAGCGACGGTGGTAAGCACAAAGCGCATTTGAAATACCACGACGAATGGTTGCTGCATATGAAAATATGTTTACAAAAATTCTGTATGCAACCAAGATGAACTTAATTTTAATCCAAAACATTAGATATAAGCGATAAACATTAGACATTAGACCTTACAACAGACATTTTGAAACATTTTTGTCCACAAATTCATTTAATTATATAATACACTAGTGATGTTAACCAAAGGCACGTGAGATATTTCAAAAAAATTCTGATATTTTTTTAAAATCCACCTTTTATCAAGATATCAGTTAATTCATGTTATTTAGTGCATTATTCTCTATTAGCACAAATACGAAAAATATTTGACCAGTTTTTGAGAAAATTCACCATTATTTAAAATTCCAATCTTTGAACTCAGGTGAATGCTTCCAAAAATTTTCAATTATAAATAACATGTATGTAAATATAGTTTGGAGAATGTCATGGCGTATTTATTGCAGCTGCCCGTACTGACCGTACAGCCAATGGTGATATTGCTGCGCCATTCGCCGAGGAACAGTACTTGGCCACTTGTATGGCCCAACTTTGCTTGACGGCTGCGAAGGGTTCCCAGGGCAGAGCGACGTACAGAGCGTAGGGATCCTTGAGCCGCAGTTTCGCGAGCGCGCCGCAGAAGCGCGCCACCTGCTCCAGGACCTTAGGCAAGGCCAACACGTACAGCCCTCCGGCCCTTACGCTCACACTCCGGACGGCGGGCGGCGGCTCGCCCTGCGTCACCAGCCTCCAGGCGCCCTTCTCGCCCTGCAGCAGGGCCTGCGCCGCCCCCGTCGCCGCCGCGCCCTCCCAGTCGAAGGCGTGGAGCACCACCTGCGCACCACGCACAGAGCTTCAACAGGCAAATCACCCATTCTCTCACAGAAAAGGCTTACGTGTTCTGAGTTGGTTAGAATTCTAGTGAGCGTGCAGCAGAATTAGTTTTCTCCCTTGGCCGCCGTGCACTCTCAATGGAAAAAGTGCAACATCACCTGTGCACCACACTAGTGCTCCAACACACAAAAGCACTCACTCCCTCGCTGAACAGACTCTTCGCTCTGCAGCAGAGCTAGTCCGCCCCGAACGACCACCCCACCCTCCCAGACGAAGGCAGGCAATGCAACCTGCGTACCACAAACCCACTCCAATAGACAACTGCACTCATTGACTCCCTCACAGGAAAGACAGCACAGTTAGAACTCTCCTGACCGAGCAGTTGGCTCCGATGAAGCCCGTGCCCTGCTAGTTTAAAGAGTGAAACGTCACCTGCACACCACATCCGTACTTCAGCACACAAAAGCACTCACTTCCTCACAGAACAGCCAACATCGGTTTCTATGGCTAGGGCACCCTTCGCCCTACCAGAGAGCTAGTGTGTCCCCACACCCTCCAAATTGAAGGCGTGCAACACTACCTGCGTACCACAAACAGAGCTCCAACAGACAAAACACTCATTCTCTCACAGAAAAGACATACTTGTTCTGAACTGGTTAGAACTCCCCTGGCGGTGCGGCACAGCTAGTTGGCTCCCATGCCAGTTGAAAACGTGCTACATCACCCGAGCACCAAATACAGCGCTCTAAGAGACAACCACACTCACTCGCAGAACAGACATACAAGTTTTTTATTACACCTCCCTTCGCTCTGCAGCAGAGCTAGTCACCCGTGTCACCTCAGTGTAAAGTGAGGAACTCGACTTGCGCATCAAACACAGCGCTCCAAGAGACATTCGACAACCACTGGGATGAAACATCAACAGATCCAGTGACATATAATAGTCTAAACTAGGGCAACTTTCCGCTATCATGTTGGATTTATGAAGTGTTTGAAATCCATAAAAATTGTGGAAAATATATTTTCCAAAAATATATTTCTGAAGATTTAATTATATTTTTTTAGATTGATCAGAATTTAACATAAATATTAATATAATCATAATAGTTGTGCTTGCATCCTACTGTAAGATGTGGGTGATTCAATAAGTCATAAAACAATCAGCAAATTCGGGTTGCAAACTTCTCACATAAGTCTGAAATGAATAGATTATTATGTAAAGAATTAAACGTCTATTAATTTCAACTTGATTTGTTATTAGAAAATAAGAAACCAGAATTAAATCTCAAGTAAAGGCAAATTAATGAACAGGTACTGGAAAGCTTGATACCGCCGCGTTTCGTACTTTGTATTCATGCACCAAGTGGTATAGTTTGGGAGACCTTGGTGTCCCAAACTCTACCACCCCTTGGTATCCCATCCCCTTGCAGACGGGTCGAGATCCGTTTGTTAGGGTACTGCACTGTCTGATATTCAACGGAGAAACCATGGTAGACTACTGATCAGAGGAGCCGACCGCTTGAATTGTCAGCAGGCGATACTTGAATTCAATCCAACCTTGAAGAAAACAGCTGTTGCCCGGAGCAATCTCTGTCTATTAAGAGGTCCTAGGTCCTCTGTCTATTAAGAGGCTGAAAAATCGAGGAGGATTATAAGAAAGAGAAGACGAAGAGGAAGAAAATTAAGAAGTTTATGAAAATGAAGACGAAGAAGAGGAAGAAGAAAAGAAGAAGAAAATGATGATGATGATGATGATAACGAAACAGAAAATAAAAATAAAATTATCGTAAAGAAGCAAATGAAGAGGAGGAAGACCTTGGAGTGGGCGTCCGCCCCCTGCAGACAGGAGCGCAGCTGGCGCAGGGCGGCGGACACGACGGCGCTGTGAGCACGAAGGGAGGGCGCATCGCCCAGCAGTGGATGGGCGTGGCAGGGCCACAGCACCCGCGCCCACAGCGCCCACGCCCACGCCCACGCCCACGCCCACGCCCACGACAGCGTCCTCCGTGCGTGGCTAGGCCTGGAATACCACATACAACTAACTTCACCAAGAGTTTCACCTTCCTCCTGTAATGCTCTAATTTGTAATACAACTATTATTACAACTATTAATACAACTATTATTACTGAATAAATGAAGGAAGCTGACAATAGTAGATTATAGAGCGATGCGCCAGTAATATATTGCGAAGTGAGGTGTCGTGAAGTGTAGAAAAGAAAAATAATGTAGGAAGTGATTAAAGGGTCATAGTGAAGTGTAGTGAAGAGAAGTGAAGTGAAGTGTAGTGAAGTGCAGTTGAATAAAAATTCAGTGCGGAGTTTGATTATGATGTTTCTTTTTTTAAGGTAATATTAAATGTTTTATGAATTAGACAGTTTTATGTCATTACTATTGTTATTATTAATGTTATTATTATTATTATTATTATTATTATATAATTTGCATGTTATCTGTATTATCTTATTGTGTCTATGTTCTGGGTATAACACGGAATTTTTAAAATATTTTCACACCAATACTCTCCCTGTGGTTACATTCATTATGTTTATTTATTTGTTTATTTTAATCTATTAAATGTTAAAAAAATATTGTTACCCAAATAAAATTTAATAACGAAGCAATTAACGACAACTCCAAATGTTGCATTTCATCCGTACTTATAAACCACGGTCTTAATTCGTCGGACAGATGTGAATCGAGTAGTTTTAGACTGCTCTGAGAAAATATCTCCAGGTGTCCCGATTGCAGGAAATTTGCATATCGAGTGGCAAGCAAGAAATCTTGTCAGCCTGTGTCCCTTCATTAGTTATATATATAAGGAATCGAAGTGAACTTTGCGAAATAAGCGTAAAACTGAATTTCTGACGAATTTCTCGAGACGGTTCGCACGTACTTCATACAACAGATACATATCGAAGGCCAAAAACGCGCATCATTAGCAACGGAGAAACAGGAACGGCTTTGAGAATTCAACAACAGAATACAACAGACACCCGAAGAGATTAGTCGGGTGAGAACAACAGAATAGACAGACCCAAGAAAAGACTTGCGGGAAAGAGTGTCCAGAAGCGAAGGTCGTATTCTGCTGTACGCCGCGACCAGTGAAAGGTTAATTAACCAGGAAGAAAGGATACGCAATTGTACCCCAGATTAAAAAATTTTATATCTGATACAATATTTTAAACAAAGTTTGTTTATATTTTTTGTTTCAAGGCTCACTTATGTAGAGAATAATACACAGTCCAATGGCCATGATAATCGACCAACTTGAGAGAATAAGCAATTGTTCGTTATTTCATTGTTTAGTTGGTATTACTTCTATAGTGTGGGTTGTAAATGTCTTATAAAATAAAAGCATTTTTTCGAGTTTTGCTCTGTTGTCGCGAAAACTTAGACGGGTCGCCATAGTGTCCTGTATTTTGCCTCGTCCCCTTTCCCTCTATCGGGAACGACGTAAAAAAATATTTATACTTAAGATAACCCAAAAGAAAATAGTTCCAATGCAAGTGCCCTTTTGTATCCCGCACTTGTCATAGGTCCGGAGACTTTTACTCATCGCAACTACTCTTCTAGGAGCGTTTGGATTAGGTCCTCGAACACCGTATTCTGGGCGAGTTGTGGCCTTCGCGTGACAGAACATCCATCAAGAAGAGGTGCGACCACATATTTTATGTTTAATTTTAGTGCTTATTTTAAATGATTTTATTTTCTACGTACTACACCCGAGAATTAAAGATCCTGGTTGTTTGGTTGTCTATAGGTTCTTTTTATTTAGAACGTGTATAGTAAACAGTTTTCATATAAGATTTTAAAAATAGATTAAAACGTTGGCGACGCCAGATTCAGCTAGTATATAAATATTTCTATTCGTTAGTTAATAATTAGTTATTAATTTGGGGCACATACCGGAACCTAATCTTTTGTAAATCAAGTACTTTATAAAATCTGTGATCTATAATTGTAATTCAAATGCATTTTAGTAATTATATGTGTTACTCTTTCAAATTGTGTTACTGAAAAACTTTATTATACAATTGTAAGACGTGTACAACAGTTTGTTGTTGCCATCATTAATAAAAATCAATAATCAAAGTAATAATAATAATAATAATAATAATAATAATAATAATAATAATAATAATAATAATAATAATACAGCCTTTTCACTCTCGTCAACACTTTTCATATGCCTTTTGATTAGTTTACGTAAGGCAATCGAATTTTATTACTTGTTTGTTTAGAGCAAGAACAGGTACCTGAACTATTATTAACGATAGGTGCTAAGTGTGAAAATAATTAATTTAATTGAAATTAAATACATATTACATTGGTGAAGTATGAAACGGTTAGTACGAGAAAACATATTTTTCTTTCTCTTCAATCAATGGGGAAGAGAGCTAGAAACTATTTCGAAATCAGTTTTGAAACTGGTTGAAAATCAATGGGCATCTGTCTTATTCGTAGTCTGCAGAGTTCGAAAGCCCCTACGACTGAGTTACGTGTTACCCGGACAGTCCCTCGTGCACTTGTTGAATTTTCCTTATAATTGGTTCCGAGACGCGATTAGTTTAAAATAATATTTGGATGTGGAATATGGATGTTTGGATGTTTCGATAAAATAACTTAAGAAATATTCTTACCTCGACTTTGCTGTTTTCATTTCGTGATTGTGGTATACAATCTTCAATTTCGTGGCAGTTTTCAGTTTAAATTACAGTTTTGAAAATAATTTCCATCACTTCAAATGTTGCTTTTTAGAACATATATTTGGTACACAATTACTCGTTTCGCAGATAATTCACTCATCTACAAATTCAAAATACTAACTGCTCCAATAATCAAGTACTTTTGTCTTCTACATGATGTTACTGAGAGAAATGGTTTTGTATAATATCATAATATTTTTTCCTCATTGATTTAAGATATAACAGTCAAGAAACAATACCTAAATAATTAAAAACAAGCATAAGCTAAGCTACTTCTAACACTTTACCCGACTTCATCAATCAGCTATTTATTTAATCAAGTTTCTTCAACTCT